TTTAATGGAAGTAGGTACCCCAGTGCCCAGAGGCAGAGTCAGAGTGCTGTCTGAAGAACAACACACCTTATATTAGGTGATAAAATGCATCGATTTGATTTGTTTTTATACAACTGTAACGTGTATCCCACAAGAAGAATCACAGTTACACATCTGAAACCAATAATTTTAACATGCAAATATAACATAAGCTCCATTTTTCATTACTTTCTCTACAAAGCTGTAAGCGGTTCAATTGCCTTAGAGGTTTTCATTCTCATTGTATTCTGATGTGACGTTACCTTTCATTAATCCCTTCCAGCTAAGCAAAATTTAATTAAAACCATCTCACATGATGGCAACCACTTATGCATTTTAAAAGGAACTCTTGGAAGCTCAACTACCAGTCTTCTCTTCTAAACAAAAATCAACTATTACATTTAGTAGATTCTTTCTTGGATTTAGGATTTGTCACATAATGACCTTGATCCCATTAATTTTGGATAACAGGGAATTTTTATGCATATAGTAGTCTCCATATATTTACAAGGGGTGTGTTCCTAGATGCCCAGGGAATACCTAAAACCTTGGATAATACTGAACCCTACATATATACAATTTGTTTTTTTCCTGTGCACAAATACCTATGATAAAGTTTCATTTGTACATTAGACATAGGAAGATATTATAATTAATAAAGACCAATGATAACAATATATTCTAATAAAAGTTATGTGAATGTGGCCTCTCTCAAAATATCTTATTGTACTGTACTCATCCTTCTTCTCATGGTGGCATGAGATGATAATGCCTTATAAAGTCAAGAACTTTCCTCTTCTCACTTAAAGTAAGCACTGTGTGGCTTCTCTTTGGCACATCTGAATTGCCAGCACTTTGGGCCATTATTAAGTAGAATAAAGGTGACTTGAACACAAGCACGGCAATACCCTGACAATTGATCTGATAACCCAGATGGCCCCTACGTGACCACTGGGCAGGGAGCCTCTACAGCTGGACAAAGGGATGGCTCGCGTCTGAGCAGGATTCCGCGGGACAACACGAGATTTCATCATGCGAACTCGGAACAGAGCACAATTGAAGAGTTATACATTGTTCATTTTTGGAATTTTTCATTTAATATTTTCAGAACTTGGTTGCCTGTAGGTAACTGAAACCAAGGGCACGTGAGTGGGGGACATGATTATGACCTGAGTTTTAAATAATACAGATTTGAGCCTTAACAGTGAAAGGAGATTATTTTTTTAAAGAAAGTGGAAAATGATAATAAGTATGCAGTTCTTCCCCTCAATGAACATGGCATCCATTGTCAAGTATACATCAGGCTGACCCATTTTACAGACAGATTAAGTGACCAGTTGTCTCAGGGAAATTGTCAGGTCCCAACGTGGTAGTTCTGTGTTTAATTTTTTGAGATACAGCCATACTCTTTCCCACAGCAACTGTACCTTTCTACATTCTCAACAGTAATGTTCAAGGGCTCCAATTTCTCCTCACCCTTACCATCGCCAGGTGTTTTTTCTTTTCTCTTAACAGACTGCCTGATGGGTGTAAAGTGGTGATCAATCACCTTTGAGTTCTGTCTCATGTTGCAACCATAGCTGCTTCTTGATGGGTGTGTGACCAGTGTGGGTGGCGGTCCAAAGGAGGAATTTGAGTCCAGGAGCAGGAATCTCTTAGCTGTAGCCGATTCCTTAATATGTAGCATTGGTTTGCCCTAGTAAAGCTCTGTGCATGAATGGAGTGTGGAAAATGTCCCCAGGCTTACCATTTGCCCAAGATCACTCCAGGAAACATTGTTCAATAGCAAGAGGCCCAAGTCATCTATTTGTGTGATGACGACATTTGACACAAACAAAGCAGGCTCAGGTCGCCCAGGTGTGTCTAATGGGCCCAAACTCACTATAGTTGAATGAGCTCTTATCAAATTCGTGGGGGAGGGGAGGTATAGTGTCAGAAGAGAGTGGTGTTTCTCTCACACTGGGTGTTTGGCCGTCAGCCTGCCCTTTGCTGAGCTTTGTTCTCTTTAAACTAGTGAGCATGGCTGAGGACCACCATTAATATCAACATGGCAACTTCACAACACATCTGCTATTTTTTTTTAAATTTTTATGAATTCTTGAGTCACACATAGGTGACTATTATTCTATCCCCGAATCATACCTTTGACAGATGGCCAAAATTCTCCTTAATTTCCATTTCGTTTACCTCCATAAGTAAGATTAGTGTGTGATACAGATCAGTAGACTGAGTCGTCTCAGTTTTAAAGCCATGTAATGTTAAGAAGTGCGATTAGGTCAAAGCTGTGGTTTTTATTATTTTTGTCCTCCCATGTCGTTTGCCTAGTGTGATTTGCGCATTTCATGTGTCAGCCATCACTACTGGGCAGCATAAGCATATCACATGGAAGATTAGAGGACAGCGATTTTGTGTTTAGAAAATAATTGAATGAAGATTTACTTTGTGACTTTAAGCTGCAGGACAGCTTCCTATTTTAAAGCCCCTCAGTTGGTTATAGAAGCAGAGCGGCCCCAAGGTCTTTGAACACAAGGCTTCATCTCAGAGTACGTTGGCCAGCCTGTGCTTGCTTAAGCAAAGACTTCTTAAGGGTCAACGGTCCAGCTTTAGGACCAAACACAGAAAAGAAGGAATCCATCATGACTTATGTCTGCACGTCTTCCAGCTGAGTGGCTGCTGCCTTAATGTTGCTAATTGTCCTAGCCAAGGCCAGGCAACTCTTTCTCAAAAGCGTACTCTGTGACAGGTACCACCTTATTCCCTCACCTTCTCCCCAACTCCCCTTGCTCCCCACAACATGGTGAGATGAAGACTTTTAGAACTCCAAAATAAAAAGGATAAAAACAACAGCTCCTACTTTTCAGCCTGAGGAAAGCCTGTGCTGTCCAATCTCCAGGTCAGCCCAATGCAAATGAAGTCTTTTCCTCATTCTCCAATGACACTAGCAAGACTTCTCAAACCTTTGCATCATATTGTCTTACAAAATACACATTACCCAATTTAGTTTGGAACTTGAAACCAAAGGTCAAGGCCAGCCATCAGTGATTTTAGACTCTCTGGCCCTTTCTTGGTTTTCTGGGACAGCCTTTTCTTGGCCAGGGCTGGAGTCAGCCAGTTTTGGGGAGCTCCCCTCCCTGGAGGCTGGGGTGAGGGGAGGGCTAACCCAGTTTTCTCTCCTTAGCCAGCCAGGCATATGCATGGTCCGTATCTTCCTTTGAAGACCACCAGTTCTGAATCTTCAGTCTTTGAATAGGCCTGCAGGGTCTTTATCCTTTAGGTAGCTCATGTCTAAATGGTTCTCTGGAAAAACATGGCCCTTCTCATCACGCCATGTTGGATATTCAGGTCCTGCTGGATCTGAGACTTTCATGTAAGGCCAGGGGCTCCAAGGCAGGCTGGGAAAAAGCATTTTGGGGCTTTTTGCTGACTTGTAAATTATACTATGCATTGAGGGCCTGGTTCTTGTTTGGATAAAATTGGATATAAGATTTTTTTTTTTGAGACATATAATAGAAATGCTACGGAGACACATAATTGCATGGATGGGTAAGGGGGGATAGAAAAGGACAGATATTAAAAACAAACTGTCCTTCCAAAGGGAATTGATAAGTGCAGGTTTTCTTAATAAATGCAGAGATGGATTTTTTTTTTTTTAAAAAAGGAAAGACCTGGCATGTTTGAACGATTAAGTAGGGAATCAGAATGTTTATTTTCCCTTCAAAACACCGTATCCATCATACACGAGGGCGGTGGAGCAGCAAGGCTCCTGTGAGCCTTTCCCTTTAGTGATTTCTTCTCCTAATTCCAGGGAATGAAAGCCGACCCTGTGCTTGGGGAGGGGGGCAGAGGAGAGTCACTGGTGCCCTCTCCACGCTGCCGCGTTGTCTGCCCTTGGCGGGCGGCAGTGCCTGCGCTTTTAGCAGGAACGCAGTGCAGAGGCCCTAATCTGAGGGTCTGGAGAGCTCTCCTCTGTGGTTTGCACCCAGCTCCCCCGCCTGACTGTGCATGGTGGGCAGGCGTGGCAGGCAGTGAGCAAGAACCCCTCATCTCTGCTCCTAAAGGGGTTTTCTTTTAAGGGATCTTCGATTGTCATGTTCCTAGGGGTGGCTTCCTTCTCGGTCCAACTCTGCCTGCTTGACGCCAAACCTACATTTTCTTTTTTAAAAAATGTGCTTGTACAGTGACATTGTATTATGACCACCTTAAAAGATAACTATTTAGAAAGGAAAAAAACAACCCTTACCCTACTTTCCTGACTTGGCATATACACATCTCCATCCTCTGGACTTCATCCATCCGTTTCTCCCCCCCCGCCCCCCCCGCCGCCCCCAATTACCCTCCTCATCTCCTCTCCTCTCCTTTCCTCTCTCTCTTCCTCTCTCATATTATACAGTTACGGCAAGGAGGCAGAAACAAGAAGGTGTGAGTGTGTTCCCCAGCCTTTTCTTATTTCAAATGGCTGTTCTCCGTAGGCTTGGTTTGTGTCTTAATGAGTTTCTCAAGTTCGGAAGTTTGCTTAAGGAACTCCTGTAACCCACAATTAGGGATACCCATAAATTACTTATAGTTATAAACTCTTTATAGTTTATGTCACCTGCAGGGTGTAACATTTATAAACATTTATATGAGCATAATTGTGCTGGTATAGAACAGTGCAAAGTACTTTTAATTTTGATTCTTGGTTTATATCTTGAGAAACTCTTACAATCTCTGGCCCTGTTGCCTTTAACTGTAAAGAAAAGGAATTACAGTTTGGGTCTCCTTGGACCCTGTTAGTGCCAGCATTTTATGCTTCTGTTATCTGAGGGTCTAATCAATACCAAATGTTGCTGAGTCTTGAACGAAATGCCTTCTGATTGCTGTTTAAGATACCTTCTGTAATGAAATTAAACTGACTCCTAAGAGTACGTAGCCCTTTTGGAAAACAAAACTTGTATTACTAAATCTAGTTTATTCTAATTTTGACTTTCTGTTCTCTCCATCAGTTTGCTGTTTTGTGGTTCACAAGAGGTGCCATGAATTTGTTACTTTTTCTTGTCCGGGTGCGGATAAGGGACCCGACACTGATGTAAGTAGTTTGGAAACTGTTTTTTGATGTCAATGTGGATTTCTGAGTTTAACTTTTTCTTTAATGCCTGTACAACTATTATTTGGGCCTACACTATTGAGGAGAACACTTACCAGTCGGTCTGGTACTATTTGGCTTGTTCCAATGAACAGATGTGTAGTCCTTCTGAGCCCTGTCTGGACCACCTAGGGATCAGAGGAGAGTTTCTTGTCGGCTGGTCCATGTCAGTCTTTTGCTCTGGGCAGCTACGTGGACTAAATCCACCAAATGCATAAGAATAACTTTCCCAAACACAATGCTGTTCTTTTCTGAAAATGCTGACAAATTTTACAATCAACATAAATCATGCTTCAGTTTATTAACTAATAGGTCTGCCATTGTTTCTGAGCACTGTAACAAACTACTTCTAGTGTGCTTCATGAGATCCTTGCTGCCTTTTCATTCTGTATTATAAATGCTCCTGTTGCTTTAAATAAGTTAACATCTGTTTCACTGAGCAGATGATTTCCAAAGTTGCCCATGGGTGAACACATAATTTTGTGTATTTGCGTGTAATTCTGCCTGTCTCTATGGAGCATCTGTATTGCAGCTCTGGTGCACTGAGAAACAAGATCAGCTAAGCAGAGTGGGATTTAGGAGACATGGGAAATACCGATATCAAAAGTACAGGGTTGGGGCAAAAGCAGGTTTACAGTCATTGGTGTGGAAAATAATACAATAATTAATAAATACTAATACGAGAATAAACTGTGTGTTTCATGTACTCAAAACTGTAAATCTACTTTCCCCATCCTGTCTGTTGAGCAGAAAGAAACATGGTTTGTTTCCATGAAAAGTAGTATTTTAACTGAAAAAAATTTCTTGTGGGGGAGGCCTGAAGAGTGGGCATTTCTATTCTGAATTGCTTTTGCCTGATCACTTTAGTCACTGATACTTAAATTACATGCTTCAAGCAATTTCTGCCTTCGGCATTCATTCCGATCGGGAAACTGATTTCACAGAGGTGTTTGCAGTGGAGGCCAGGGGTGAATCCTCTTCTTACCAGAAGACGGCATATTCACAGGGAGCTCCGAGCAATTCAGCTTTGTGTTTTTTAACACTTATAATGAAGGAACGTGCTGGGGAACCCTCAGCGTGCAGGAACATGCTGCGTCTCGGTTCAGATGCTGGCGGGGGCAGCGTAGAGTGGGTGCCCAGCGCTGAGCCACCTCTGTCCCGCAAAGACTCTCACAACGTCGGAGCCAGAGGAACCTGTGAGATGATTTTGTTTTATATCCTTGTGGACCAGTCCGTGAATGTTGAGGCCTTGCATACATACAAGAAAGTTATGTGGTATCATCCACTCCCCTTTTTCCATACCTCCCTTCCTTTTCTCCGTTTGGGGCATTTTAGAGATAAAGATGGGTACAAATGAAGAGCATCATGGGTGGTCCTTTCACCTCCTTGCTCGTTATTGTTATTCTCAACTCCATCTTCCATTTGAGGTTTGCTCATTTCTCTTCTGTCTCCTCTCATATCTGCCCCATCAAGAATTGGGGAGGGGGGTGCAAGCTACAGGGCTGTAAACAGCTTTTGCCTGACCCCTTCCTCCTGCTCCTTCCTCCTCCTACCTCTTTATTCTTTTCGTTAAATATTGAGTTCTTAATATGGGGGAAGATAGGCATTAAAATATCATTAATTAAAAGAGGATGCAGGTGCTCTGAGTGCGTTTACCTGAGGGCCCTACTGCAGGTAGGTGGCCAGGAGGCTTCCCCAAGGAAATGCCATTTAAACCAAGCTTCAGGAATAAGCAGGAGATGGGCAGCAGAAGGGAGTTTGTGTGTATGTGTGCATGCTGGGGCCTAAGGGACCCTTAGAACACTCTTGCTGACAAAGAGCAGATCAGGAAAGAACTCCCTGATGTGAGGAAGAGTCTCAGGTACGAATGAACCCAAGCAGACTGGGCATTAGACATCTGGCTGAGCATTTTGAAAAGTCTCAGGAGCAGTGGGGATCCAGGGAAATGTTTAAACCTAGGAATGATGTGACTCTGTTTGCATCTTATTAAGGTGGCTGTGGTTGCCTGGTAGAAGGCGGGCTAGATGTACAGGTGAAGACAGGGAACATCAGCAGATGGAGAACCAGCACAGAGGCCCCTGCTCTCCAGGGCAAGAAGATGGGAGCTTGGAGTAGGTGGAGGCAACAGGGATAGGCAGAGTGAACCCACTCGCGGTACACTGAGGTACCAAATCGGTACTATTTGGCCATTGTGGGACCAGGGAGATGGAGATGTTGAGAAAGACTTCCGGGGCTCTGGCCCAAAGGGAGAGCATCTTTGAGGCTATGGGGTAAATCAGACCAAGGGTTTGATGTGGACATGTTCCATCTGAGAAGTTGGGCATCAGGAAGACAGTTGTGTATGAATGTAGGAGTGGAGGTGAGAAGTGGGGTATGTCCTGAAGATGAAGATTTTTTTAAAGCATCATCTTGCCTAGACAAAGGGTATAGAATAAAAAAAAAAAAAAAAAAAAAAGATTAGCACCCAGGAGAGGGCTCGGAGGAACTCTGGAAGACTGGATGGGAGAGGAAGGGCAGAGAAGTAGGAGGAAATAAATCCAGGAACGTGATGCTGATTTAATGACTTCCTGAAGCAGCCATAGGCCAGCTCTCTGATCACATCTGTGATTCTGTTACAAATTTGCTGTAAGCTTTTGATTTTATACCTGGATAGGTACCACACATCCCAGTGTGCACCGGGCAGTCTTGTTGACAAGGGAAGGTCTTGGCGTATGCCTGCCAGAGATCAATTCATGCCTGTTAATTATCTTTAGCGACCTCTTTCACACTCAGAAATATGCTGTTTGGATGATTGCTCTGTGGTCCCCTTACTCCTGCAGCCCGGAGCCAGGCAGGAAGCTTTAGTGAAAGTGTGCTTGGAGCGAAGCATGATGGGAGGCGCCGCTGTGCTCTGACATCCAGCTGAGGGCTGTTCCTATTCATTTTGCATTGACTTGTTGTAGGTACTGAGCCTCACATTTTAAAATCCTTGAAAGTAAAGATAGGAGATGAACTTTTTTTTTAATATGAGAGAAAAAGAAGTACACGAGATGTTTAAAAAGAATCAGTGAGTCTTGACTGTCTGATTCAGAAAGAATTATGTGTTCTCTTCCAAGGAGGAAATTTTGGTCCTTGGGGTTAAGGGGCCTATGATTAGATTTTCTGCAGCCATAGCACAAGAAGTGTCTTCTGTCTTTTATGCAGAGCGATTTTATTATTTTATTAATGTGCAAGATGAACTGTCCGTGGGGTAGTTGGAAAAGCATGCAGGCTTCATTACACAGAGCTTAGCTGAGATGGTAGGAACTTTCTTGTTTCATCCCCTTTTACAGCAAGTTTAAAATGAAGAGCTAAAGAGCTGGGAGGGCGCTAAGGGAGAGGGAGAGGCCCCTGGCCTGGTTTTACTTCAGTGGAGCATGTTGGGATCTGCCCTCCTGGGGGAATCATTGAGAGTTCTGTTCAGATATTCAGAAACGCGAAAGGACATGAAAAAGACCTGTTAAAAGAGCAGAAGGATCAGAAAAAAGAAATAGAGGGCAAAAGTTGGTTTACAGTTGTAAGTACATGAAACACAGGGTTTACTCTTATATTGTTGTTTATTATTATTTTCCCAATGAACAGCTGTAAACCTACTTTTGCCCCACCCTGTATCATGTAAGAGAAAAGAACTACCTCAAGCATTTTCCCCCTGAAAATATAAAATTCATCAATTAAGTTTCTTTTCCACACCATGGTGAATGCTTAAGATGCACAGTTTACGTGAGGCTTAATAACACATAACACCTTCACTGAACTCAGCAGACTCCGAGCGCTTGCGGGTGGGAAGGACCAACCTTGTAAAGTCTACAAGCACTGTACCTACTCTGCCATCTCCCAGATGAAAGGAAAGGAAAAACACTGAAAAACAAAAGAGCAGAACCCAGATTACCCTAATCAGATAGGAAAAGAATTAAACATTGTTTTGAACAGAGATTACCTTCAAGACTCAAAGAGCAGTTCTGTGAATGGATGACGAAGGGCGGGGCACCTTGAGAAGGGGCTTCTGGGTTCAATGACAGGACCCCTTGAAAATCAGGCCAGTCTCTGAGCCCACCCACACCCCTCCAGGTTAGCATTGTGGTGCCAGACATTCTCTACTGCCACATCTAGAGATAAAAGCCAAGGAAGACTTCTGAGACTTTCAAGTGCAACCCCGTGCACACCAAGTAGCAAAGGAAAATTAGAGACTTTTGAAGAACCTAACATTAAATGTTAACTCATTCACTGGTGCGCTGTATCTTTCGGGCCAGCAATCACCAGCTGGCAAGAGGGGATGGGCGTGGCTCACGGTACAAGCAGGGCTCTTCCTATTTGGTGTTGGAAAGGCACTTGAGTGGGGGCAGAATTTGTGCCTGCAGGTGCGCAGCCCCAGCATCCCATCCCACATCCCAGATTTTATGTGACAACAGAGAAGTAAGACGAAACCAGACCATGTGTAGAAATAGTTCGTCTTCCCCACCTCCCCCTTAGTTAAGACAGGAACTAGGACATGGTGCACAGGTAGATAGGGAATATCGCCTTGCTTGGCTTTGCAGGGTGGGGGCGATGACTTTGCTCTGGCCACGGTGGGTGAGGAGACAGACTGGGCAAGGCTGGTGGGGGTTCGAGGGGCCGGCCCTGTCTGAGGCTTCCCTTCACTATCTCAAATTTAAGCTTGCTGGCCTCTTGGTTGTTCAGTCTGGAACTCCTCCCTGTTCTTAGAATAATTCCATTCAGCCTAAATCATGTCTGTTCATGAAGCCCACCTTGCTAGAGGGAAAACAGGTTATTTGGGTCCTTCCAGTGCATATGCATGTGTGTATGTGTATGTGTGTGTATATTATTAGTACATTAAATCATTTTCTTCCATACTTTTTCCTCCCTGTGTCTTAAGAAAAGCTGCAAAGTGGCCCTTTCAGAGAACTGTACCAATCTCAGTCCTGCTC